TAAGTCGTAAGAGAAATATCGAGAGAACATGCGGATTGGTAAAATCGATAGCTATGGAGAACGTAATAGCATCTAAAATTCAAAGCCACCCTCGTAAATCCACAGGACTGCTAATTACGCTCGCTCGGAAGGACGCGGACAGCGTAGCACAACTCGGCTAATCGCAATATTTTCATATATCCTTCTGTGATTTATGAGATTCGTTCGTATTTCCCTCTTCTCTCGACTTTTGTTCACGCGGAGAATCCAACGAGCGTATTTTCTCGATACAACGTCGAAAGAGGATATTGCGCTCGGCGTAGCAGATTTATTTCTTTTATTTTTTGAAAAAAAAAAAAAAAAGAAAAAAGGAAGAAAGAGTAAAGAAAAATAAAAAAAGAGAAAAAGTGATAGTGAGAGAGAGAGAGAGAGAGAGAGAGAGAGAACTAGAACGGTCCCTATGTCGTGGGCACACTGCAAATCACTTTTAATTAGATTCGGAAGTGTTTCGCCATTCCCCGTAGAAAAGGCAAAGAAAACGAGAAACCCAAAGGGGAATCTGCGACGTCGTTAAAAATATTACCCTGTGTAATTAAATACGGGAATATCCCTTTCGTTATACGCTGTTTTTAGCGCCCGAAATTCGCGTTTGTAGAAAAAAAAAATAAAGAAAAGAAAAAGAAGAGAGAGAAAAGAGGTATGAGAAAAATGTTTTAAAGCATGACCTACATTCGTTAGAGGAAACGAAAGAAAGAGAGAGAAAGAGAGAGAGAGAGAGAAAGAGTCTATATAATTCTAAACACCTCTTAGAGAAGATGTACGTTTAGTTAGGCTAAAACATTTAACGAATTATCCCTAGAACAGCTGTGCGTACGACATTCCTCTAACGCTTTCAATTCATTTCGTCGAAAATTCAAGACACTCGATCGTAAATTCGTACTGTGCTAATTACAGCTCGTCGAAATTTGTTATATTCGTTAAAAGACCAAAAAAAAAGATCGGGAGGGAAGAAGAGAAATGTCACGTTGCGAAGAAACGTTCCAATCGATACTAATATTTTCATGTCAACTTTCGTTACTTATAAAATATTTCATTATTTGATATCGAAACACTTAAATTAAATCTTTGATATCGACGAACAAGTCTTTAGATAATTTCAGATATTTAAAATAATATGATAAGGAAGATATTATTCTTTTATATATATTTTTTTAAAATATACCCACCATTTTGATTGCATAATAGTTAATCAGTGTAACATTGAATAAATAGACAACTACATCAAATAGGTTGTTAACTCAGAAAAGAAAAGTCGGTTACCGCCAATTACTAATGTACATATTATATTAAATAAAAATGATTAAATAATTTTCAATTAAGATATAATTACAATCAAGATGAAATAATTTTAAACGAATTATTTTTAATTATCAGTTAAGAGATTGTAGTTATAATATTTGTAAGTTTATGATCCCATCTCCCTCAAATTAATTTTAATAAATTTAAATAGTAATTTGTCTTCGATCAATGTAGAGACAAGAAAAATTATAAAGCACGAACAAAACAAAACAAAACAAAACAAACATACACGATTCTCATTCGAATCTTGTTCGTGTTTGATATAGCACGTTAGCCAAATCCAGCTAGCTCTTTTACATTATTCGTTAGCCTTAATTCTTTTTCAAGGATAAAGAACGCGTCTAATCAAGTGCCATGCTATGCTAACGCCCCTTGCAAAAAAGCAAATCTCGTTCTACCTCCCTTTCACTCTCGTTTCCTCCTCCTCCTTCTTCTTCTTCTCCTTCTCCTTTTTCTTTATCTTTTCCCTTCTATCTCGTTATTTCTCAGATTTGTTAATTAGCCTCGACACGATTACACGACACCAACGTTAAAATGTATGCAGGTGCGATCCTAGTGGAAGGAACGTATCTTCATTATTTGGACGTTAAGGAGAAACTCAAATGGAGTAAGCAGAATTTCGCATGATTGTCGTCGAAGCACGGTTAGCAGGAACGACCAACCGGGATCGGTAACAGGTGCAAACGAAATTTGTTTAGAAATAAAATTAATATTTAACGTGCATGCACACAGATAGCTAGCTATACATGCAGGATATAGTTACGCGGGACGCCGGTTTAACGAGGGTATTATCTCGACCGGTAGTCGCGGAACGTTAGTCGAGTACGCTTAAAATACAAGGACAGCCCTCGTAAATCGCCCTGCTAATTAGCGCGATACGGATCAGCCTCTCGTACGACGACGTAGAAACGAGAGAGTCGCGTCTGCAAACGGTGTATATTGTACATTTCGCTCTTTATCTCTTTCCTTTTCTCTTTTCCACTCATTCATTCTCTTTTTCTTTATCCTATTATTACCCCGTCAAAAGACCACCACCCCCACCCCCGCCCCCATCACTCCCCAACGTTATCACATGGCGTACACGTATGAGCTTGCATTTTCTATTTTCGTCGTTAACTCTGGAATTAACTCAACGAAAAGTGCCTAACAAAAATTTCAGATTTACTTAACAATTTAGGCTATTTTCTGATTATAAACGGATTCCATGCGAATAAAAGATAATCGTTCGATTTCTCATTTGCCAAATAAATGTCAATTCATTCGCGGATGAAACGATAAAGCTTGATTTTTTAAAATAAAGTCAAGGCTTTTATCGATTGCGGTTTATTAAGCGAGCATTCACGGTCTTTTCATAATCGACGATTCATAATACACATTTAATAACATTCATAGATGATTCGTAGTTCCTTTCAAAATGAATTAACTTATTAATATCCTTTTCGTTTGCTACTGAAGTTTCAAAAACGAAACATCGGTGTCTACAAATCGGCTTAATTTTATTCATTATAAATCTTAATCCGTTTGCATGCGTATAAGCGAACGTTGAAAAAAAATAAATTGTTAATAAATCTGATGATTTAAATACGCGTCCCACTTATTTTTCTCTCCTCAAATCGATGCACGAAAATGGCTTAGCGAGTTTGTCGTGGTTTTGCGTGGATTATCGTCGACGATGTTGGTCGAAGGAAAGACAGGAGTCAGAAACCACGCGGAAACTCGACCGCTGCCGCGTCGACAGAGTGAGAGAGTGAGAGAGTGAGAGAGTGAGAGAGTGAGAGAGAGAGAGAGAGAGAGAGAGAGAGAGAGGTATGGGTTGGTCGACAAGTTATTCGCGGTTCACCATTGAATAATTTAACGTTTAATTTCACGTTGGTTCCTCGTCGTCATCGGCATACCGCGGTACCGTTGATTCGTACCGTGAAACATTTAACACACGCCAAATTTCCCATGCGACTCGCCGGATAATACCCACCATACACATAGCTCTCTACATAGGGATAAAGGGACTTGTACTTGCGCATGCGCGCACACGTGCGTAAGCTCGAGAAGCGTGTTTCGAATTCCGTAACTCTTCCCCCCATTCCCCCTCTACCATCTGACTCCTAATATTCACCGATTCGAGAATGATCGCTATTGCTTAATCGATAGAACCATAAAGGTTTACTTAAAAATTTTATTAGACTTTGCCAAGAAATTTTACGATACCCGTTGTTATATTTGTCGTTTTCAAAAAGAAATGAAACGCGTAGATTGATGGATAAACTTTAATACTACGTGTTTTAAAGTTACACGCAAAGTGTAGTGATTGCATTCGCATTGAAACAACAAACGAAAAGAAATGTGAACAATTTAATACCTCGATAATTACGAGACTCGTAAATGAAAACAGATCGGAGTATCGTATAACTATTCAAACATTTTCCTCTCTTCCGGTAACCCGATCGTAAAGATTTTCAAATGAAATTCAAGATTTTCTTTTTTTTTTTGTATTTTTGACTGGATTAATTTTCATTGTTTCATTCCATTCCACGATCCATTACTGTTATCATTATTATCACCACTGGCACTTATATTATTATCGCTATTATTACTGCTTATTATTATTAATCAGTAAATTGTGATATTTTCGCAAGAACCATTATACCCACTCACTATTATATTATTTTACGATAAAATAAATTGTGTATATAAAACTTTATTACTCCCGAGTATCTCGGTCAATCTCATCTACGACTAAATCGACAAAAAAAAAAAAAAAAAAAAAAAAAAAAAAAAATCCCTTCTAACTCATCAAATAATTATCCTTTTCTCTTTTCTCCTTCGCAGACAATTTTTCTCATGCATACATTTAAAATAAAATTTTCTCTTAAAAAAGAAATATCTACCAATCGATTCGATGACACGCGATTATCAAGTGAAATATACTTTTCATAATCGTTCATTTTCAAATATCTTTTCTGCGATCGAGTAAACGTCATTCTAATTAAAATCGTAATTCTACTTGTATTAACAGTTTTATCGAGTCTAACAATAAGTATGGTACCGGTATTATTATTCGTAATTCCCGCTTGACAGGTTAGAAGTCGGTAAAAAGTTGACGGGATGAAAAGAGAGAAAATCATTATTAAGGAGAAAGAGAGAAAAAGACGAAAAAAGAGAGAGAGAGAGAGAGAGAGAGAGAGAAAGGGTGGAGAAAACGTAGCGTCAAAAAACGAACGAGCTAAAAGAAAAGGGTGGAGGCGGCAGTGAACCGCGTTACGGATTAACGGTGCGCCGGTACGGCAACGACGATGCACTTCCCGCATATCCTAGCGTCCGGACAGCTCGTGAGATATTCAACGGAGCGAATATCCGGCCAGATTATACGATTTTCCTCTCTTTCCCTATCGTCTTCTTTTTTCTTTTTCTTTCTAAACCCCGTGCTGTGATGCTCGGGGAAAAAAGAGAGAGAGAGAGAGAGATAGAGATAGAGACAGAAGATCGAATAGAGTGGATAGCAACGCGAAACTCCAACTCCGTGCTGATATCTTTTTGGGGGGTGGGGTGGAGGGGGTTTGGTGGAAAAAAAAGAACAAACAAAGAGAGAAAGGGAAAATTGGCGAATGAACGATACGCCGGTCATGGTTGAAAAGGGATGAGGGGAGAATGCCTGAATAACGTACCTAGTGTTATTGAAAATCTCATCCAAAGCGTGCCTGAAGATTTTCTCGTTTAGTTCCTCGTATTCGAGTAATATAGCTACACCCCTATACTCTGCAATTGCAGCATTTGTATATTGATCACCGTACATCGGTATAAGAATCATCGGGACTTCTGCGTACACAGCTTCTGTCAAACCTAACAAACCGGCATGGCCCACGTAAGCTTTTACATTTGGATGATCTGTAACAAACACACATAAGAGAAATTATTATTAATATTCAATTATTCAAAATATAATTTTTTCATTTCGTCACAAATTAATTGTCGCATTTGTTAATATAAACGTTTACTCACCAAATGTGACAACTTATTTGGGATTGAGGGAATGCAATATATAAACTACTGAAAAAGTTCTGTTTTTGTTTTGTAAATGATGAAAACTAATGCATCTCTATGCTGTTTATTAATATTTAGTTAACAATATCATATTCGTCAATATGAGAAACTTCTTTCTGTCTTGATAAAAGCTTTTGTATGTTTTTACAATAAAATATCTCGTCCTTGGAAAATAAACCTCTCATCGAGTACAGAGAGAATTTTTCAATAAATCTAATAATTGAATTCATATTATATGTTTATATAACAATCCTATTCAATAAATATTCCCTGTAAACGTAATTTTTTTGTATTTTCTTGTTTAAAGATCGATATTGATAAGATTGTGTTCTTTTGCCAATTTAAAATTAAAAAAGAAAATAATTAACACAATGAAATTATATTTAAAAAAAACGTTAATTCTCATAGAAAGTATATACTAGAGAAAAAGAATAATAATAAAATAATAATAAGAAAATAATGGTGAGAACGTCCACCGAATAATAAACAAATAATGTTGTTACGTTAACTCGCTAAAATCAAACAAATATTATATAAAACTATCTTTCGAAAAAGAAAATGCTTCGTAATCAAGATATCTAGGTGTCCCAGTTTAACAAATAAAATAAAACTCATCCTATATAGAAAAACACTTTTCAATTTTTTCTTTTTTTTTCATTGAAATCGTTCCAACCGATTCTCCCGGAAGGCAGAAAAAATAATTCCGAGTCGATCGAGCAAGAACGATGTAAAGACAGGCGAAGCGTAAAGTCTAGGAAAGAGACACAAACTGATAAAATTCGTTCGTGATATCAAAGCGAGGAAGACGCGATCGGAGTGGTGCACACACATATATAAAAATAAAAGGAAAGAAATAGATGAGAGAGTAAAAGAAAGAGATAAAGAAAAAAAAAAAAAGAAAGAAAAAATCTGTAAACGTTTCGAAAGCGAGTTGCAATGTGAAATCGAATGGCGCATTAGAAGCCTTCTTCTAGGCGAGGAGCAAAGCGCATCATGTAATCGCAAAATTCGGCGGAAGAATCGTTGTCGAGTCGCTTATCGTCGACGACAGTACCATCTTATTCTTTCTTTCGATCTCCCTTACTCTTTCTCTAACACACACACACACATATACTTCTCGAAGCGTCTACGGTAAAGAAGGATAGGCGACACACCCTCCTATTCGACACAGAATACCACCTCCAGAGTCGATCCTAATGTCAAATTCCATTACCGCGGCATAGCAGCCCTTCCTTTTTCCCTTTCCACCATCTTACCATCACGCTTAAACCCCATACTCTCCTAAAGGTAGAAACGTATAAACTTGTTTGCATTAAATCCCTTTCTTTTTAATTCTATTTATTTATTCATCTATATATTCAAATTAATATTGTGCGAACATGTTAAGAACTTTTAGGAACGATAATGAAGGTTATTATGAAACAACTTTCATCTGGAAACCCGTGTCCAGAAACATTTCCTTTAGGAATTACAGTACGTGATGTGTGTATTAACCGACTCAGTACTCGTTACAGAAGTAATTCTAACTGTCTTACACTAACGTTAATACCTAGTATTATAGCGTCATGAAATCAACTGACACACTCGTTCGAAAATGTTCGAGTATCACAAGCAATTATGTTATTTGCTACTGGGTTTTTTTTTTTAATTCGATTGATGTATCATAAATCAAAGCTTCCAGATGACCTAACAAGAAAAAATTAATTGGATTTAAGTTAGAGGTGAATATTATAGTCTACATAAAGGCAAGCCAATGATTTACCATGATTCCTTAGAACAAAAGCACTAGTTAGAGAGAACATTCTGACAACACATATCACGTTCTCTAATTCCCAAACAAAACTTTTTCAGACACAAGTTCCTGTATAAAAGTTGTTCATAATAATCCTCTCTATCATCCTTAAAAGTTTGTAACATGAGTACAGAATTATTCTATATATATATTTAATATATAGGTATACAAATACATGTACAAGTAAGTGTGCAGAATAAATCATAATTAAAACATTATTTGATCATAAATTCTTTTAAAAAACTGAAAAATATTTCATTCTTTGACTACGAAAGGCATATACCTGGTGAGACAAAAGAAGTAAGACAGCTGAATATCATTGTGAAACTTAAAGATACAAAGAATAGCTACATCAGAATTAAACAAGGCTTCGAAGAACGCACTAATCTTTTTTCGACGCAGATGAAAAAAAAAACGTAACACGTATTATGTTATGATATTTACCAAATTCGTCTTGAAATCCTCCAACAAATAGACATAAACAAAAATTATATGTTAATTTGTGAAAAATTCAAAGTATATCCTTGAAAAATAATCCAAATAAAAATTGACAAGAAATTTATTATAATCACGTTAAAGCTATCATGAAATCATGCTAATTACAGAGTAATAATCTCTAATAATCACGACTCGCGATTCACCCTGTATATTTACTTATTAATATATAAATATTACTATAATAAGAAAAAATCGAAGACATCTTTTCTACGGTTTTTCGTTCACGGTAGATACGCTATGTCGTCGTTTCTCTCACCGATTGCATATACATATTGAAAAGAAAGGTATAGGGGGAGAAAGAGACAGACAGACAGAGGAGGATAGAATACGAATGGGAGATATCCATCTATCCATCCAGGATCCAGCGATCAGTCTGAATTTTTGCCGACGAGTCGATGGCAGCGAGGCGAGAAGACGAAAAATCGGGCATACGTATATACCACTCGCACGATTTGAGCGAGATTTCACGCTCTGACATCGTATTCGCGTGCTTTCCTCTCACGGCATGAACCCTCGACACGTTCGATTTTTTCCCATTCTGCTTCTTCTTCTCCTCACCCTCTCCGCCCCGCCCCGCCCCCTCTCTCTTTTTTTTTTCAATTTTTGTTATCTCTGCTCCCGACGCGATTATTTTTACCATCGACGGATTCCAATATTTTCCGAGAAAAAATATCGTTAGTAGACAAAAATTGAGATTTTTATTGCATGTTAATCAAAGTAGAAATAAAGATATTTAATTTATAGATGTATAATTGCAATGTAATTAAATAAATCTAAATAAAGAAATTTATTGCAATAATAGGATACTTATTTGTGTGTTAATCGATTTTAAATTTATTTCTACATTTGAAATATTTATTTACTTACTTCATAAGTGAGTAATAATAATAATATACATCTATATATATATGCGTGTGCAAAAAATAATAAGAGAACAGAAGAAAAAAAATAGTATAAAGGTTAAATTACAAGTGATAACATAAATAAAAACATTCTAATTATAGACAAGCTAATAGAAGAAATACAAACATTATACTAACATAACGTTAAGATAAAGATATAGACTATACAACTACATAAACTATAAACTATATAATTATGTAAAATTTAGATAAAGATAACGACAAAAAACACGAAATTACGGTTAAAAAAAAATCTACAATGTCGGATGGAAGTAATTATAGTTTAAAAGTAGCGATATATATTTATTTCTAACAATTAATTTTAATAATATATGTATTTTCTCATCTTTTTCGATACAAATTATTCATTTTGTCTTATTTATAATTTATAAGTTGGAAAGTTACGATGGTTGAAAATTTTGTTATCACCCAAGAGGGGGAAGGGGAAGGGGGGTTAACTTTCATACCTTCGGTTCTAGAAATTTATCTGAAAGAAATATAATTAATAGTTCGCATTTCGGTGAAATCGTTGAAAACTTAGTTCCACCTTACTCTCGTCGTAAGATTTTTACGAGAATTGAGAATATATTCGTCGATTCTTCGTTATGTCGTCCGAGCTTCCATCCTATCAGTTACATTGCTCGAGAAAAGTTAGGAGACACGCGGAAGCAGAAACGGATGTGCTTGAAAATTCTATCGCTCTTCGCGATAGACATTTCAGACTACAGCATCGACAATATTTTCACTCCGTTCCCAATAGAAGCAACTCGAAGTCGAAACGATCGAGACTCGTAAAGCGATTACCGTCTCTGCATCGACTCCACTTAAATGTTTCTTCGTGTTTCGAAGCATCGAGAGCTTCCAAAACTCAAGTCGACGTTGCTTTCTCATTGAAAATTAAACTTACTTTTTTCTAACTTTGTATACTCTCATTCTTTTCCTTCTTATCTATAGGTCTGTATAAATAACAATGTTTATAAAAGAAAACACAAGAAATAATTTATCAGAAGTTAATATTATTTATCTATGATATTGTTTCTGCTCCAAACATAACTTAATTGATTAAACAAAAAATTGTTAATTAATCATTTACCAATTAACGGAATTGTAGTAATATTATTTGTATATTTATGATAAATAATAATTATAAGAAACTTGTATAGTACTGTAATGTGTATTACATATAATGCACAAAATATATAAACACTGTTAAAAGATGTAATTTCTATGATAAAAATAGTTTAAAAACGTTCGATTGAATTTAAGAATAATCAAACTACAAAAAGAATGAAATTTCTTATCAGGAGAATAGTATCGTTGCGTTTAATCGTAGCCCATCGAAAGATATCGGCCTTCATTTGATATTCGAAACAGCCTCTGGCGAGATAAGTATGCGGTCTATCGAAAAAAATAAGGGTGGATCACCATTCTTAAAACGATGGAGGGTGCGGTCTGTTTCCGATAAGACTATACTCAGTGATCGATCGAATGTGCATCTGTGTGAACAAATCTGATAGGTACAATTTGAAAAAAAAAAAAGAAAAGAAAACACAAGGAAAGAAAAAAAGGAAGTGTGGAACAATGAAGAAAAAATAGAAAAATATGACGCAACGTTAAAATATTATTTATATTCTACAACATAAATATTATAA